AAGTGTTGTGCTACTAACAAAAGGCCAGCTCAAACCCACTAGTGACTCCTGGAAAGATTTACAGATTCAGAAACCTGATGGAGTGTCAGTATGATTCAGCATCAAATTGAAGGCATTGAGTTTGAGTTTTGAAAGCTGGTACAATCATATGTTTTCTACAGAGAGTAGAATGAAGAAGACAGTGCCTGATAATTTCACTAATTGATCATCAAATATTTTGCTTTTATTCAAAGATTTCTTTCGATACTTTTTAAAAATTATTATTTTATTTTATTATTTTGTGTGTGTACTGTTGAATCAGATCTGACTGGTACAGGAGGAGATTGCCCCTCCTTCTCCAGCAGAGCATCTGGTTTGAATCCACAAGCTACATGTCAGGAGAAAGATGAATAATCTCCTACCATGAAGTTTACGGTCTCTGAAAACCTACTGGAGGGTCAGCTATGGGTCATTTTGGACTGCATAGCAAATAAAAATAACAATAACAATATGAAACAGAATAGGCTTCATTGAACCTTCCAGACTAGGGAGCAAAAGAAAAATCTGATAATTTATTTCTGAAAAATCAGTAAATAGAAACCTATGGTTAATAGTAGTCTGATTCTGTGTTACAGAGTCTTTCGTGTTGCTATGATCCAAAACAGGTTTTACTGAAACTTCTGAACTAGGGAAATGGAGAAGAAAGGAAAACCTGGTAATTTGCAGCCCAATTCCCCCACATGCTCATGGAGAGGAATAGGTTGAATTGGAGTCCTCAAATTTTGTATTAACTTATATAGGACATGATTCTTAGAATTTGTGTGATTGTCCTCCATTTTTTAATCTGATATAGTTATCCCTTACCTTACAGGTTGTAAACCTTAAAACCTGTAAGTTAATAAAACGTGATTAGTACATAGGAACCACTGGTTCACAGCAGTCTGATTCTTTTGTACAGGAATTGGTGGCTAATTGCTGGGCAGCTAATAATAATAATGACACATTAACACATGCTACAAACCAGTCAGCTCCCACCTGGAAAAGTCACTTGCTAAGCTTTCAATACAGAAGCATTAATGAAATAATGTATGATCAAGAGCCTGTGATGATGAAGGAGGACGTTCAAGCTAAGTTCAAGTTCAAGTTCTCTGAAGGAAATGGGGGGGGTAAACTAAGCCCTAGGAATTGGCAGAATACCAACTGACACTTTTCAATAAGCTGATGTTGCTCTGGATACACTCACCAAATTGTGCCATCAATTGACTGGAAGAGATCCATACTTGTTCCCATTCCAAAGAAAGGTGACCCCAATAGAGTACAGAAATTATCAAGCAATATCATTAATACCACATGCAAGCTAGATTCTGTAGAAAGTTATCAAAAAAATGACTGGAACAGCACATAAACAAAGAACT